CGAATCTGTCGCTGTGAGTGGTGGGTCCCGGATGAATCACACACACACACACACACACACACTCTCTGCGCTCTCTCTGCTCTTGACAAAACACCCACTCAAGTCCTTAGCAGCGTGGTGTATAAATGAGAACTGCAACACTGATATCCTCGGCCCAAATTCAGCAGAACCCCCCCAAAAAAAAAAAAAAAAACACAGAGCGTTGGGAAATTTCTAATCTCCGTCGAAAGTGCTCCCAGTGCCTCTAATCAAAGCGTTCGCTCGGGTCAGGGGTCAGACGAGCTGAAAAAAAAGCCACAGCAGTCACCACTGAAATGTCAAACATTAGTCACGCAGGAAGCGAAGCTTGCTTAATGCATAATAACTTGGTCGACACCGAGATGCAAACCAGCTGTGTGAGCTGCATGTAGATTCTCTCTCCCGCGCTGTAATACATCACCGACCGATCGACTGGAATGGACTCGATTTAAGTATCATTTTGTCAAGCTGAAAACGAATCGCGGTCACATTTCTATGAAAAATACCACGTTTTACTCCTTAAGCATTCATAGCTTCAAAGTACATCCAAGATGACTCAAATACATCTTTTTTTCCCTCTCTCTCCTTTTTTACTGGCCACCGGTCCAACCTATCACATGTTCATGTTCTTTTTAATATACTGTTTACATGCTTATATAATCATAACATCCAGGGGACTCCATACCATGTTTTTTAGACTGAATGACCATACTGCATTCATTTTATCGCCGCAGGTCTGTTAGAGCAGCGGTCCCCAACCCCCGGTCCGCAGACCGGTACCGGTCCGTGGGTCATTTGGTACAGAAAGAATAAATAACTTACATTATTTCCGTTTTATTTATGATCTGGATCTGAAAAATGAGCGGATTCTCTCCGTTACATCCTTCTACGACTCACTCTTGACGCATGAAGACGCTTGTCTCGGTCACGTGATACGTCGAAACCTTACCATAGAGACCAGAGAGCATTAGGGGGGAGAGAGGATGTTACGAGGACGCTGCTAATAAAGCTGCAATTTCACATTGAATTCACGTTTATTATTAGATTTTAAAAATACCCCAGTTTTTATGCCGGTCCTATCATTTTATTTAGTTGTTTATTTATCCGCCACACCTTAAAGGCCGCTCCGGGAAAATATTGTCTGATATTAAACCGGTCCGTGGTGCAAAAAAGATTGGGGACCGCTGTGTTGTCTGAGTCAGGACACTGTTGGGTTCCTGTGTGTAGAGTATCGTAGCTCTGTGTTTAGCTGCTGGTGAGCACGGCGATGGGAAATGGGAGGGGTTTGAGCCCTGTGCTGTGAAAACAATTCACACTTTTCGACAAAAACACTGCGACAGAGATAGAAAGTCTACTTTCATATGAGCCATTAAACCAGGGGTGTACAATCTTATCCACACAGGGCCGGCGTGAGTGTCTGTTGTTACCCAGATGAGGACGGGTTCCCTTCTGAGTCGGGTTCCTCTCAAGGTTTCTTCCTTTAAACATCTTAAGGGAGTTTTTCCTTGCTTCAGTTGGGATAAATTCTCACATCTGTATACCGTGTCGATATTTTTGTAAAGCTGCTTTGAGACAATGTTTATTGTAAACAAGCGCTATACAAATAAAATTGAATTGAATTAAAAAACGATCAGAGTGACAAAACTGTATTTTTGGAGTTGTGCATCCACGGCTGTTGACCGAGTGTTGAAGAATGATCTCATAAATGTACTTGGATGAGTCCATAACCTACTGTGAGAAAATGATCACAGTCCGGTCACATGACCGAAATCAGCCAATAGGCTTTGTGTAATGGCGGACGCCCAGCTGAGTGAATTTCATTGTTAACTTGCTGTCAGATTTCTTCACCCTATCTCATTAGTAACTGCTCTCAGCAAACCTCAGTCCTAGATCAAACAACATGGATGAGTATCCTCAACAGACTGATAAACCAGAGAAGAGACGGATACATGGAAGTAAGGCATAAAAAGAACTCGCTGTAAATGACCGAACTGTGGATAATATTCAAGTTGAGATCGGCGTATATTGTTCATACTGTGAGTTTTCTGTATTTAAGTGATGATGATGATGCTCAAAGTTCACCACCGTATTACTGTGAATACCCACGAAAGAAAGACCGGAGTCCACGCAAGCGTTTTTTTTCATGCTTCAATTAACACAATGGAAACAATAATGGCTGATAACTTTTGGTGAACCTATCATCAAGATCTTCTCTGCTCTCAACTGTTCTGACGTAAGAAGCTTCTGAACTTTTAAATTCAAATTCTGGAATTCGAGCACAATGTGACCCTGATCGTTTTATCATTGGTGCCTTAAGGTGCTTTTTAGTATCTGGGGTGAACCCCTTTGTGTAGCAGTAACCGCCACTAAATATTTCCAGTAACTGTTTACTGGGGTTCTCTTTATGAACTTATTCAGGACTTGTGTGAAGATCTGATTAATGGTTTAGGAAATATGGAAAATTCTTTCAAGCACCACTGTACATCTCCCTGACTACAAGATGTCCGACGATGTACAGCACCACAGGAATGTGTTTATTCTCGCGGTACTTCCGCTGGAAAGGTGTCATTTTTGTATTCTCCGCAGTCCTCGTCCATCAGGTCATGGGTTTTGTCAGCAGATACACAGTCAGTGTATTTTCATTGCACTGCATCTCTAATTCCAGCAGCGTCTGCACTTTCCCGTCTCGTCACCCTTAAAAACAATGACTCGAACGAGCCTTTGATCTGGCATAATTAGCAGGTCGGCGAATAAATCTTCATTAACCGTAATTAATTCGTGCCATGGGAAAACAAACATCAAAAAGTTGCAAATAAATCCTCCATTAAAGCTTCCTAAGCGTGACAGAAGGGGCGAAGAAGTCGCTGGCCGTAATCCACAGGCGTACTTGGCATGATTTAGATCGGTTTTATTATCCGTGTGGAGAAGAGACGCAGAATCAGAAGGTCCGAGTATTGCTCAGGGAGGCAGAGAGAACTTCAGGTCCAGACTTGAAGAGGTTACTTCATGGATTATTTTTTTGCTGTGATTGCACCGGTTTAGGACACCTGGCATTCGGACAGCGTGGAGCGTGGAGACGTCCCTCTCGGCCGACCTTGACTATAGGCTAGTGCTGCAGGTTTCCTCCAGGCAATTCTTAGCAGCAATAAATAAATAAAAATAATAATCCTAAGAATAGACTCTTCTAAGGGAATACTGGCTGGTATGTCTGGACTGTAGATTCATGGCTTTTCCGCCTCTTTACCTCAGAGACCAGCTTGGTACACACCGTCATCCGTGAGCACATCTGATAAATAATCATATCTCCCACAGACAGCATGAACGCCTGAAGTTATGAAGAGATGCGCCACTACATCTCTGGTAATCCTCAGCCCTCTAACATGACCTCCAGTCAGCCACTTATTCCTGTTCTGAGTCACGGGACTACTAACGGAGCTGTCCGACAATCGCACTCGCTGCCGTGTAAATAACACGGAATTCCAGACATTCCAGCATTGTGTCCGACGCCGTTCCAAGTATTGTTTTAATCTGCGTCGTGTTTGTTTACCGTCTGGTCCACATCTGCTTGCTGATCGCCTGACCATTTGCAACCCCATGTGAGCTCACAAAGCTCTCTTCTGTGAGCTTCTGTAACCAGACGGGCTAGCCTTCACTCCTCACGTTCATCAGTGAGCCTTGGGCGCCCATGATCCTGTCGCCGGTTCACCGGTTGTCCTTCCTTGGACCATTTTTGGTAGGTACTAACCACCGCATACTGGGAACACCCCACAAGACCTGCTGCTCTGACCCAGTCGTCTAGCCATCACAATTCGGCCCTGGTCAAAGACGCTCGGATCCTTACGCTTGCCCATTTTTCCTGCTTCCAACACGCCATCCTCGAGAAGTGACCGTACACTTGCTGCCTAATATACCCCGCCCCTTGACGGGTGCCAATGGAACGAGTTAATCAATGTTCTTCACTTCGCCCGTCAGCGGTTTTAATCTTACGGCTGGTTGGTGTATGACCGATCATACACTCGGGACAGCTGTGAATCCTAACACACGGAACACATCCTAATCCTCTTGCCCGGTCTAACAGCAATGATTTCCTCAGGAAGCGCATGTGAAAGTACTTTTATGCTAGGTTTGTAAGAACTGTGTTGTAGCAGTAAAGTAGGACATTTCAACATTAACATTTTATGCAAATGTTGAAATTTTAATGTCTGTGTGTGATCTCCTTTATGAGTATTTCACCGGCTCACCCTGGTAATATAGACCCAGTGTTTTCCTGTAGTAGCAAATTGGCCCATGGTTTTTTTTTTTTTTCCCTAGCTAGTTCGTTTGAGTTGATTAAATAACCGTATTGTGCACAAGCTGCATCTGCTCTCTAGAAACAGGAACAGAACGGAGAAAAGTCACTTTGTTGTTGTTCTGCTTCAGTCAAAGCGCATTTGAATTTCATTGTTTGAACATGAATGAGAACTGAAAGTGTTGCTACATTACGGACAGAGACCATGCTCTACTACGTGCACCGAAGGTTAAAAACGGATGCCGTCGTGAAGCAAATCGAGAAGATTCACCGTGAAAACCATGACGTTTTCAGATTTGTTACAAAAAACTGTCAAATTTTGACATTTCGTAGAATACCCAAGATCCGTGTAAAATCCGTCGTCTTCGAAGTCTTAGTAAGAGTTTTTATTTATTTCCATCCATCCATCCATCCATCTTCTATACAGCTTTATCCTTTTCAGGGTCGCGGGGAACCTGGAGTCTATCCCAGGGAGCATGGGGCACGAGGCGGGGTACACCCTGGACAGGGGGCCAGTCCATCGCAGGGCACAATCACACACACACACACACACCCGTTCATACACTACGGACACTTTAGACACGCCCATCAGACTACCATGCATGTCTTTGGACCAGGGGAGGAAACCGGAGTACCCGGAGGAAACCCCCGCAGCACGGGGAGAACATGCGAACTCCACACACACACACACACAGGGCCACGGTGGGAATCGAACCCCCGACCCACCCTGGAGGTGTGAGGCGATCGTGCTAACCACTAAGCCACCGTGCGCCTTTATTTATTTATTAAAATAATAAACTCCTACTGAGTCCCTCCAGGATTTGGCGATTTTGTTAATGCAAATGAACGCAAAATCAGTCAAACTCCACAATATTCGGAGGAACTATATATATATATATATATATGTGTGTGTGTGTGTGTGTGTGTGTGTGTGCTATGTGCTCATTGCATAGGGGATAAAATAACATCACTGTAAATAATATTTAGTTCACTACTATATATTCCCAAAAGTACGAAAAGGGCCTATTAATAATTATATTTGATATTAAAAAAGGATTTGATCGTGTGCCATAACGGTCGGAAGTCGTAGATCAACTCTGTGTGTTTTTATTTCATACCTGAAACTTCAAGCCTGTACAGTAACTAAGCAGTTGTCGGTGTTGAGACGGCGGAACGTGTCAGACCTCAAAGTATTTCATGTCGAAGTGTTAACCAGACAAACCAGACTGCACAAACACTTCTTATGTGTTATTTTTTTTTTTTCTTCTCCCGACCCAATTATCTCCTCAATGCTAGTCAGCGCCGGTTCCCACCCGCTGCATGAATATATTAATGACATTAAAGAAAATGTAGCCTCGGTGATTAAAATGCAGGCTGCTTCTCCTTCTTTTTCCCTTTTTTTTTTCCTTCTTCTCTCAGCGTGACACCATTAATCACATGTTAATCAAAGTGACTATGTTGACTGATGTCCCACAAGATGGCTGAGTTCATTTGTGTAAAGAGAAAGAAACACACGCTGTTGTTGTTGTTGTTGTTGTTGTTGTTGTTGTTGTTGTTGTTCCGCCCAAGGGAATACCTTTTTTGGGTTTAGATTTTTCCGAATTATACGTGAGCATGAACGCAGTTCGTGCTGCTTTTTAACTCGCACTGGAAATGGCGAGCAGCGTAAAAGTCGCGAATGGAAGAATGGCGTTTGCGCCGCTGCGTCTGACTTTATTTCCCGCGCTCCGTTACTCGTGTTGCTTCGTGAGGCAGATGGAAACAGACTGGGATTGTTTTTCCGTTAGCATCGTATACAATCTTCGTAACGATCTGTCGTCTCGATCGCCTCAGACCCCTTCTGCTTCAATCCATATGAAGGCTCTAAATAGATGTGTGTGTGTGTGTGTGTGTGTGTGTGAGACATCTTGGAATATCTTTATACACCATATGGGAGGGGGCATGGTGGATTAGTGGTTAGCACGCTCGCCTCACACCTCTGTCCGCTCTGTGTGTGCAGAGCGTGCATGTTCTCCCCCTGGTTTGGGGGTTTCCTCTGGGTGCTCCAATTTGCTCTCCCAGTCCAATGATATGCCTTGCAGGCTGTTTGGCATTTCCAGGGTGTCCACTGCTCCGTGCCCTGAGTTCCCTCAGATAGTCTCCTGTGTAGGATAAGCGGTATGGAAAATGGATGGATGGATGGATGCAAGTGACATACTATCCACAACACACATACACACACACACACACACACACACACACACACACATACACACACACGCACATACTCTGTATCCTGTGGTCCACTTATTTCTCACAACAGGCAGCTGTGATTTGATCTTCACAGGTAACCCGCTGTGCTCTACGGGCAATAAGCCGTATTTAGGAGGAGATGCTGTGTGTGTGTGTGTGTGTGTGTGTGTGTGTGTTTGAGAACGTGTGAGGCCTGCAGGTGCTGTGTAGCGTCCCACCTGGTTCAGGTGTCCAGATTTTGCTGCCCATGGCTGTGCCGCTCACACAGATTCATTTACAAAACTATCTGTGTTATAGATTCCACCTTTGCTCTGAGCATCTCTCTCTCTCTCTCTCTCTCTCTCTCTCTCTCTCTCTCTCTCTCTCTCTCTCTCTCTCTCTCTCTCTCTCTCTCTCTCTCTCTCTCGCTTCATTAAATGCATATTACTCAGTCACTGCTATCGTTCCTAGTCTGCTAGAAAAGGGGGCTGCAATTAAAATGATCCCTTTTTGTCGGGAATTCCGTGTCACCGTGTTCTAGTCACAAACAGAATTAGCCATTAAACCATGGCACTAATAAATTGCAGGCATTTGGAGCGTGTAAAGCTGCGAAACGCCGCGACCAATCAGGAACGGTCTTCGGGAACGCTCTGCGAACCATCCGATGCGTCGCGGTGCTAGTGTCTTTGGCGTGCGCTGACACGACTGCGTGTATACAATGCAATTGTCAGCAATTACGGCAATTAACTTTGGCACAGTTTAACGCGGAATCGCTCCGAATGACTGTTATCTTTGCTGCCAAATGGTTTGGGCCCGCTCACGGCTTCCTGCCCTTCTATTTTACATAATGCCCCGTCTTTTTTATCTCTCCTTGTTGTCTCTTTGCCCTGTCTTTATTTCTCTTTCTCTTTCTGTTTCCTCAGATTACTTTAACCACCTTCTTTTATCTGTCTGTCAGCTGGCTGATGTGTGCAGTTTACCGGTGCGCTATCCTACACTTCTCTCAGCTTTGTTTTTCTCACATCTCTCTCTCACTCTCTCACTCTCTCTCTCTCTCTCTCTCTCACTCTCACTCTCTCGCGCTCTCTCTCTCTCTCTCTCTCTCTCTCTCTCTCACACTCTCTCACTCCTCTCTCTCTCTCACTCTCTCATCTCTCACTCTCTCTCTCCACTCTCTCACTCTCTCACTCTCTCTCGCTCTCTCTACTCTCTCACTCCTCTCTCGCTCTCTCTCACTCTCCTCCCTCTCTCTCTCTCTCTCACTCTCTCACTCACTCTCTCTCGCTCTCTCGCTCTCTCACTCTCTCTCTCTCTCTCTCTCTCACGCTCTCTCACTCCTCCTCTCTCTCTCTCTCACTCTCTCTCTCTCTCACTCTCTCTCTCTCCTCCCTCCCTCTCTCACTCTCTCTCTCTCTCTCTCTCTCTCTCGCACTCCTCCTCCTCACTCTCTCTCTCTCTCTCTCTCTCTCCTCTCTCTCACTCCCTCCTCTCTCTCTCTCTCTCTCTTCTCTCTCTCTCTCAGAATGTCTCCTGTTCTATTTGCAGGTTGACGTGTTGTCATACGGAGCTATTCTGTATTTTCTGCCTCTCTCTTTGTCCCCCCCCACCCATAAGCATAGGAGAGGACCAAAACAACAGCCGTAATAACATTTCTTAATATTATAGTAGTGTTAAATATCTAGAGTGATGCCATAAATCCTTCTGCTTCACATGTAACACTCTCGCAGAGCAATTTGACAGCAAAAGCGTGATTTATCCCGTGATTCAGCGGTACGTTCGCACTGAGCATGTGCCCTAACAGCAGGCTAGCTATGCAGAACAAACGTCAAAAACATCTGTCATGCTAAGATCGGAGAACTAAGCAGCTAATAAGCAAAATGATCGCTTAATCCCCACAGCGTTCAGCCTGTTTACTCAGAAAGAAGCAAAAGAATGTGGCTGTGTAACCGGATGTGTAAAGGGAAGAAGAAGCAAGATGCAATTACTGATTATTCCCGTTCTTGGGATGTAATAGATTTGTGTAATTACGCTAAATGACAATGAGATGCGTACGGTGAGAGCGACGGTCATCATCACTAGCCGTCAATTTCAAACCATCAGACTGCCGGTTGAGCTCAAGTCATGTCGGAAGATCGTATTTACGAGTCGAACGCACACGAACGACGAGGTAAAGTCGTAATTACGACTGGGGAAACTCTGGATTTTCTTTGAGCCCAGAATTTAAGCCCAGGGGGCGTGTCAATTTAAGCCCAGGGGGCGTGTCAATAAGAAAACATGCTGGAATCAAAGGTAAATTTGTTGAAATTGAGCTTTTTTTCGTCCCAGAAACTCTGCTGATTTTCAGTTATTATGTGTTCGGTATATCCCAGCGAACAGGGAACGTTCTCCGAACAACGTTCTATTAAAGTTATGAACAAACATTCTTCCAGTACTGTTAATAAATGTTAATGACCGCTCGTTCATCGTTCAAAATACGTTCTCAAAAAACGTTAACACAATTGTTATTTATACATCATTCAGTGGAACATTTATACATTTTTTCTGGAATCCATCCATCTTCTGCGTTCCACTCGTAAGTACGACTTCACCTGCGTTCCACTCGTAAGTACGACTTCACCTGCGTTCCACTCGTAAGTACGACTTCACCTGCGTTCCACTCGTAAGTACGACTTCACCCGCGTTCCACTCGTAAGTACGACTTCACCTGCGTTCCACTCGTAAGTACGACTTCACCTGCGTTCCACTCGTAAGTACGACTTCATCCGCGTTCCACTCGTAAGTACGACTTCATCCGCGTTCCACGCGCGTAAGTCGACTTCATCCGCGTTCACGGCGTAAATGCGACTTCATCCGGCGTTCCCACGCGTAAGTACGACTTCATCCGCGTTCACGCCGTAAAGTACGACTTCATCCGGCGTTCACGGCGTAAGTACGACTTCATCCGCGTTCACGGCGTAAATGCGACTTCATCCGCGTTCCACGCGTAAGTACGACTTCATCCGCGTTCCACGCGTAAGTACGACTTCATCCGCGTTCCACGCGTAAGTACGACTTCATCCGCGTTCCACGCGTAAGTACGACTTCATCCGCGTTCCACGCGTAAGTACGACTTCATCCGCGTTCCACTCGTAAGTACGACTTCATCCGCGTTCCACGCGTAAGTACGACTTCATCCGCGTTCCACGCGTAAGTACGACTTCATCCGCGTTCCACGCGAGTAGTAGACTTCATCCGCGTTCCACGCGTAAATACGACTTCATCCGCGTTCCACCCGTTAAGTACGACTTCATCCGCGTTCACGCGTGGCGTAATACGACTTCATCCGCGTTCCCGCGCGTAAATACGACTTCATCCGCGTTCCCACCGTAAAATACGACTTCATCCGCGTTCCACGCGTAGTAACGACTTCATCCGGCGTTCCCACGCGTAAGTACGACTTCATCCGCGTTCACGCCGCGTAAATCGACTTCATCCGCGTTCACGCGGTAAATGCACGACTTCATCCGCGTTCCACGCCGTAAAATACGACTTCATCCGCGTTCCACTCCGTAAGTACGACTTC